TCCCGGGGAAGCTGCAGCCGGAAAGGTCAGGCGAGGGCGCAGCCTTATGGGCTGCGGTCGCCACGGGCTTTTCCTTCTTGCTGAGGGCCGGCGAGTGCGTGTCGGGCGACCAGAATGGTTGCACCAGTGGCAAGGGCCTAAGGGGCTTGGGCGTCGCGCCGAGGGCAGCAGGCGAACCGGCGAGGAGCTTGCCTGAGGCGAGCGAAATCGTCGTCGAGATACGGGCCAGCAACACGGACCAGTACAATCGAGGAGAATGGCGCAACCACTTCAGGGTCGAAGCAGCGCCAGGCACGGCGGACGATGAGCGCATCTGCGCGGTGGAGGCGCTGACGATCTACGAGGGGTGGGCGCGCGAGAGGTTCTCCGGGGCGCGGGCGCGTGACCCGCTCTTCGCCCGCGACGACGTGCGGCTCGTCGCGAGGGTCGACGTCCAGGGAGTGGTGATGCAGTCAGCCATGGCGGATGGGGGTCGACCCGAATGAGTTGGGCTCCCGCTGCTTGGTGATCGGGGGTGGGGCGCAAGCGCTTCACGCAGCATTCAAAGACGCGGCGCTGGTGCAGCGCTGGGGGCGGTGGAACAGCGACGCGTTCCAAGGCAACTTGTGGGGGGCGAGGGACATGGCGCAGGGCGTGGCTAGCAGCGTGGCGGCCGCGGACCTGACCGTGGCATGAGAAGCGCATGGGGCGGCCGCGTTGGCCTGAGGCTCAAGCGCAGGGCAGCCGAGGCCGAGAGGTCCGAGGCTGAGGCGCAGGGGGGCCTCGACGGCCGGCAGCGCGGCAGCCGAAGAACGCGCGGAGGAGGTGCCTAGAGTGCTGGGCAGTGGGGGCCAGGGCCCCCCTCCAGTCCGGGCAGGGGCCCGCGAGGTGGGCCCCGCGGCTCGGGGCGCGCAGGGCGTCGGGGGCGCAGAGGGGGTTCGGCGGCGAGACACGCCGCAGAGCTCGCGCCTTCCAGCGGGAGGGCGCCACAGGCCGCGTGGAAAGATACCCCCCCTCCTCGTCGTCGGCATCAGCGTCCGAGGAGTGCGAGGGCGCGTGAGGAGGGGGAGGAGGAGGAGGAGGAGGCGGCCTGAAGGGCGCGGGCCCAGCTGGGTCCAGCCGCGCCCGATCCGCCAGGGCTGTGGAGGCGGAGAGAGGAGAGGAAACGTATATTTTCGAGAGAACAGTGGGTTTCTTTTCTCTGCGCAGCCTCCCCCTCCTGCATGTGCTCCTCCTCCGTCTCCCTCGGCTTAAGGCCGCTCTAGGAGCGGCCCCGGCATCCTTTTTGGAGGTCCCGTCCACCCGCGCCATAATGCAGCGGTGGGTGGGGCCTCCCGCCGAGTCTGCTCGGTTTGCGCTTGCCGCGTCGCGGTCGGCGCGCGCTCAGCCCCCGCCGCGCCGCGCCCCCCCCCCCCCCCTGGCGCTGCTGCGCAAAGAGGAGAGGAAACCTAGCAACTTTACTTTCAAAGACAGACGGTTCATGCTTATCAGAGTACGAAGATCAGAATTCATATGACTATCAGAATTAGGCCAATGAGAGTATTAGTGCGAATGATCTTGCTGATGTTCTAATTTCTCATAACACCCATACACATACTGTTAATGAGGCGAAGAATACGACCACTACTACTACTCCTACCACTACTACGACTGCTACTACTACTACTACTACTACTACTACCACTACTATTACTACCACTACTATTACTATTATCACTACTATTATCACTATTACTACTACTACTACTACTACTACTACTACTACGACTACTACTACGACGTCTACTACTACTACTACTAGTACTACTACTACTACTACTAGTACTACTACTACTACTACTACTACTACGACTACTACTACTACTACCACTACTACTACTACTACTGCTACTACTACTTCTACTACTACTACTACTACTACTACGGCGACGACTACTACTACTACTACTACTACTACTACTACTACTACTACTACTACTACTACTACCACTACTACTACTACTGCTACTGCTACTACTACTACTACTGGCTGCTGCAACAACAACTGCTTCTACTGCTACTACGTTGGGGAGAAAGAGGAAGATGATGATGATGATGATGACGATGATGGTGGTGATGATGATGAGGATGATGCTGCTGCTGATGATGGTGATGCTGATGATGCTGATGGTGATGGTGATGATGATGATGATGATGATGATGATGCTGATGATGATTGATGATGATGATGAGGAGGAGGAGGAGGAGGAGGAGGAGGAGAGGAGGAAGAGGAGGAGGAGGAGCATGAGGAGGAGGAGGAGGATGAAGAGGAGGAGGAGGAGAGGAGGAGGAGGAGGAGGAGGAGGAGGAGAGGAGGAGGAGGAGGAGGAGGAGGAGGAAGAGGATGAAGAGGAGGAGGAGAGGAGGAGGAGGAGGAGGAGGAGGAGGAGGAGCAGGAGGAGGAGGAGGAGGAGGAGGAGGAGCAGCAGCAGCCAACCCCGAAAGGCCAGTACGGACTGCAGCGCGGCGGGCGTGGCGTGGGGCGTGCAGCGCAAGCACAGGCCGGGTCGGCGCGGCAAAGCGGGGCGGGGATGGGTCCTGAAGGGAAAGGGTCCAGAGTTTTTTTGCAAATTTGGGATGCGCTGAACCTTCCACAGGCGCAGAACTGTAAAACGATTCAGGGTGAAAAGCTGGCCCTGGACGAAACCTCGGGATCCAGGACCCGTTTCACTCAGGACCTGCTTCCTTCATGCCGACAGGGTCTTCCGCGGTCCAGTTGGTTCGGCTCCTTCACAGTCGGTCGGCTCAGTCCGAGAGGTTGCCGTCGGATTCGGTCGGTCTCGGCTTCGCTGACGGTTCGGTAGGTTTCCGGCTTTTGCTGTCGCCGTGGACGAACGAGAGGGGTGGCGATCGACCGACAAATCCAGGCGCGCCACAGCTAGTGAAAGCTGGGGCGCTCTTGTCGCCACGGCTGGAGTTTCTTCGAGTGCCTGGCCAAAACGCCCCCCCAGGGAGGTGCGATGGCCGAGTGGTGGCCGAGTCGAGGCAGGGGGGGGAAACGATGATCCTCAGGTCCAGGTGTCGCAAGAAAATCGTGACGGCTGGCTTATCGATTGTCTTTGCGTCTGGAGGCCGATTCCCGGCCCTGGGATCGTCGGCAAAACGAAGCCGGATAAACATCAGGCCTTTGGGGAGGTCGACGTCGGAGGAGAGGTACTGAGCATCTACATGCCTGCCTTGGCCAGATCTCGGCGGGACCCGAGCGCGGAAGGATTTCATTGGGACGAAGACCGACAGCATCCCCAGACCCCCGCCGCAGTGATTTTTCCAGAGCGTGGCTCCACGGAGGTCCGAAGCTGGCACAAACCATTTGTCGCGATTCCGTCACGACGCGAGGGGTTCTGTTGCTCTAGACGCTTCGCGCAACCCCACTAGCCCTGGTTTCTGCAGGTCGCCGGGTGTTTGGAGAGCTGCTCTGAGCGCCGCCCCTGGTGTTGCTCGCGCGATTTGTGTTGATCGCGCGTTGTGTTACTCGCGCGATCGTCGGGTAGTGCAGGTTCCCGGTGCAGCCCGGGGTAGATGATCGGGTCTGTAGCTCCACGAATCCTGGTCTCGATTCGTTGTACAATGACGCAAGCAGGCCCCCGAGCCTCTCAGGCTGCCTGGAGAATCAAAAAGCGTCCGGTCCGCAGGGCGGCGCGCGCCGCCTGCGCCGCCGCGCTGCTGGCGCTGCTGGTCGCCGCGGCGGCGCTGGTCGTCAGGTTCGTTAAACTGATCCACATCCCCATCGTGCCTCGGTATCTCAGCCCCACCATCCCAGCCTCCCAGTTGGGGATAGGACCTTCGAAACCCGAAGGAACAGGCATGTTTCCCCATCTGGAGGGGTAAGTCGGCCATTGGGGCCAAGGCCACGCAAGTGGGGATATACCCTGTGTTTGGTGATAAGCGTGGGGTGGGTGGGCGCCACCCCCGCCGACAGCCCCAAACCGACCTCCGTCGCCTCGTCGCGGGCAAACGTTGCCGCGCCAAAAATGACCGCGCCCCCTCCCAGGTGCGCCGACGGGGCGAATCAGACCCCCGTCGCACCGCGCGGACAGGTGACTCATCCAGTGCATCACCCGGTGTTGAATTCATCCAGTGACGAACGCATCCAGTCTCGTCCTGCGACTACCTCATTCGTTTCTGGACACCCCCGGCGCCTGATGCACCGCGGCCCTTGCACGCCGATCTCATCCGTTGCCGGACTCAATCGGTGAGTCATTCACCCGGTGCGTGGTTCTCCTCTCGGAAATTCTCCAAACGATTCAAAAACGATTCTCGTCCCCATCTTCGTGTATTTCCACGAAAAAACGCGAAGCAAGCGAGGACAACCCAAGACTTCCCAAAACAAGCCGAGAGACACCCAATCAAACCGGAAGAGCAAGCCAGGGCAGCGACAGACATCCCAAACAAAGAAATGACAGTAGGGACGACAGCCTCCTATCGCGTCGGGTCTCGGCTCAAGCCTGCTTGCCGCCCCCAGCGCCGCTCTGACTATGCTGGACTGGGCGTACTTGGGGTCGATTGTAGCCCCGCTCACCTCGGCTGTCTCGGTGGCCTCCAGCTCGTACTGCTGGGGCACCAGCCAGCCTTACGCGTGGCTGCTGGTCGGCGGCCTCACCATCCTGCTCTTCATCCTGGTCGCGGTGTGCCTCGCGGGCTGCTGCGGCCTCTGTGGGTTTGCCGCGGGCTTCGCGGCCGCCCGCGTGGGCCTCGGGCCCTGCTCCCCGCTGCTGAGGCGGCGGCCGCCGCGGGGGACGCAGCCGCCGTGCTGGCGCGCGTCTCGACAGCGGCTGCGAGGAGGCGCCTTCAGGGCTACGCCGACGTGAGCGGGCAGTGAATGCCCAGGGCCAGCGATGGCAGCCGCTACGTTGCAGGTCAGCGATTTGACACTAGCCACTTCAGGAGCGGCGGAAGCATGGCGCCTCAAACTCACTTCAAAGTATTGCGAGGCCATTCCTGTGATGGCAAGAGCAGAGGGTATCATGATGGCGGTCCCCAAGGCGATGAATCTCCTGCTCAGTCGGGCCGCGCTCGCGTGGCGGGCCCTCGGGCGCTGATGGGGCCCTGCTTGCTCACGACGGTGCCGCTCGACACCGAAGAGGACTCGCCAACAGAGGTCGAGGTCTACCTGGTCGACTTCACGCTGAAGGTGCTGGGGCAGCTACAGCCCCTGGCGGACGCGGACGACGAGGAGGAGGATCTGGAGGTCATCCGCTTCGACGCGTCAGAGGCCCTGCCCGAAGCGACGGCCCTTGTGGAGAGGGCCGAGGAGTGGTTGCAGACGGCGGGACTCGCGCCCCGAATCAGCTACTACACAGCTTCGGAGGGGGAGCCTCTCGCGGAACCGAGGGCCAGCAGGTCGCCTCAGGCCTCGCCCTCGGGAGCGCTGCCGACCGAGGTGTTGTCTGCCCTGATCGCCTCCACGGTGGCCGCCGCCCTCGCTCCCGTCATGGAGCGGCTCGGCGCTCTGGAGCGAAGGCCGACATGCGACGCCGCAGCCGCGGGGCCTCCGCCACCGCGGGCTGCGGGGGCTATGCCGGCCTTGGCGCCCCCGGTAGAGGCGAAGGCTCCAGCGGGTGCCGTGGCGAGGCGCCTTCTCGCCACCACGCCGAAACGCCTGGGAGAGCCGGGGCCCAGCGCTGTTCGGCCACCGCCGCCCCCTCCTGCGCCGATCGACGTGGACGCCGAGGACCTGAACGACACCCAGGCGCAGCTCTTGCTCCATACCCAGGCGCTTGTGAGAGACTCATGGGGAGCCATGGCGCTGGCCCGAGCGGAGACGTGGCGGGCCCTCCCGGGGGAGGGGCAGGCGCCGACGTGCTGGGCGACCTGGCGCGCTCCTCGTCGAGCTCCGTCGGCGTGCGGGGCTCGGCCAACTAACTGACTCAGGCTCCAGCGAGCGCTCGAGGCGCAGTCTGGGGCGCTGTCGCTGGCGGTGATCCGCAACATGGCGAGGCGCCTGGGCCCCCTTCACGCTCCAGGGGGGGTGCCCGATGCGCTGGAGTACTTGGAGCGCTTCGGTGCCTTCGCCGACAACTTCGCAGGTCGGCCCGCGGCGTGCCAGGCCACGCTGACAGCCATCGCGCTGAACCACCTGATGCGCGGGGAGTACGACCAGGCCACGGACATCGTGGCCCTGACGATGGTCGCGCAGGAGCAGGCCACGCTGGACCACGGGCGGTGGACCACGGCCTGGCTGCTGACCTTGCAGGAGGACCCGCCGCCTGCCATGCTCAGCCGCAGGACCGAGCAGGCCCCGCTGCGCGGCTTCTCGGCTCTAGCCGATCCCGAGTGGACGACGGTGGCCCTAGCCTACCTGTAGGAGCTCGACGTGCTCTCCAACCACCAGCCGCAACCGCGCGCCACCCCGCCCGCGACTGCGAAGGCGTTTGCTGGGGCCGAGCAGGCTGCCGAGGCGGAGGACGGAAGGCCTCGCCGCCCTCCGAGGCGGCCGAAGGCGAAGGGGGAGTGACGACCCCTTTCCACTGGTGCAGGGTGCTCACCAGGCGGGTCTTCCGCGTCGGCTGTTCTTTTTCGCGGCACTTGAAGGCCGCGCTCTGCGCCGGGCGCGAGGCTGGGCTGAGCCTCGCTACCGCACTCTTTCCGCTGCCTCTACCCTACAGAGCGGGAGTTGCAGCGGCTTGCCCCCAGGTCTCGCCGCGGGCGCCGCCGAGCGTGCTGGCAAGGAGCGAGGGCCCGCGCCTGCAACGTCATCGCGATGGCCCTGAACTTCATGTGCAGCAACAGGCCGCAGTACCCCTCAAAGCGGGACCTCGGGAGACAGCTCTCCTCCAGCCAGCGGCTGATCGTCGAGCGGATCGAGCTGTTCCTCAGTGCGTGGGGCCGCGCTGCGGTTTCTTCAGACCTGCAGTGTGGCCGAAAGGGATTTGCAATTCTCGAGGAGATCGCCCACCTGGCAGGGGCCAGCGGCGACCTCTTGCATGGCTTGGGCCCTTGCCGCCTGGTGCCGGTGCCTGCTGTGCGCGCCAGGCCTGCGAGCTCGGTAGTGGGGCCCCTGGACCCCTCGCGATTGAGGTTCTCGGAGGGCCTCGCCCGCTGGGACGCCCGGGACTTCGTGCCGCCCGAGCTGTGGCTGCCCGTCGTCGAGCCGCGCTGCCTGCGCACGTGGGCGCCTTCGCTTTCCTCGTGGTCCTGGCCTTCGGCGCAGACGGTGAAGGCGGGGGCTGACTTGCAGCTGCAGCGCTTGTGAGGCGCCGCGGGCCTCCTGCGCCTTGCCCCCGCGGGCGCCCCCGCCCACGCGGTGAGCCAGGTCGGCAACGTCTTCAAGGGCGCGGATCGCGACAGGCAGATCTTCGATCGCCGCGGGCCGAACTGGCTCGAAGGACGGCTTGCCGATGTCCCCTCGCAGGGGCTTGCCGCTGGCCCGCGCCTGGCCGACCTCCACGTGACGAGGGGGTCGAGCACGCTGCGGGCGTCGGCGCTGGATCGGAAGGACTTCTACCCTTCTACCGCCAGTTCGCTGTCAGCGACGCGCGAGCGTCGACGAACGTCTGTGGCCGTGCCCGCGATCTGCGAGCCTACGCGGACTTCCCCTCTGACCCCGCGAAGGCGCTGGAGGAGCGGGAGAAGGCCGCTGGCCGAGGCGGCGGGCCGGCGTCGGGCGGCGCATCAGGACGCCGCCCGCGCGGCCCAGCCCCGCGCGTCCGGGGGTGCTTCGCCACTCTCCCCATGGGCGACCATGCAGCGGTGGGCCTGGCTCAGGGTGCCCACGGCGAGCTTCTCCGCCGAGGAGGCTGCCTTGCCGGCTCGGAGACGATCCGCGGGATGGAGCCTGTCCCTGACGGCCCCGTGGCGCAGGGCCTTTGCATTGACGACTACTTCGTGGTGGAGCGGGTCTCCGTGCAGGGCGTTCGCTCCGAAGCTGGGGCTGGCGCGGCGCTGCTGGCCGCTGCCCGCCAGGCGTGCGCCCGGGAGGAGCTGCCCGAGTCGACCTCGAAGGTGGTGGATCAGGAGCTGCTGGCGACGCTGGTGGGCGCCGAGATCGATGGCAGGCGGGGGCAGGCTCAGCGAGGGCTCGTCACCGTGGGGGCCCCGCTGGAGCGCCGCCTCGCCCTCTCGGCGCTGAGTCTCGCATCGGCTCGCCTGAAGGCCGCGAGCGGGCGCTTGCTGGCCACCTTGGCCTCCTCGTGGATTGCGGTCTTCGCCTACCGGAGGCCCCTCATGGTGGTGCTGGACCGCATCTTCAAGGTACCAGGCGTGGCCGAGGCGGGCTTCAAGACCCGGAAGGCCGAGGCCGCCGCCAAGCTGGGCGCCGTCTACGGCCTGTCGAGGCCCGTGAGAGACGAGCTCGTGCTGGCCTCCGTCCTCGCTCCGATGGTGGTCACCGACATCTCCGCCCCCTACGACGACAGGATCTACGCCATGGATGCGTCCCCGTCGAAGGGGGCCGTGGTGAGCACTCCCGCTTCCGCCGACCTGGTCGCGCACTTCCGGCGATGCGGGGGGCGGCGCGGGGGGCATTCCCGCCTCGAGTCGGCACCGAGGGTAGCCTTGAGGGAGATCGGCCAGCTTGACGCCAGCGCCGAGTCGGACAACTTCGATGGGGGTCCTCGACGAGCCTGGATGCCTGGACCACCCCTCGCGGCCCCTCGCCTTGTTCTACGAGTTCTTGGAGATCGGAGGCGGCAGGGGCGGAGTCACCCAGGAGGCGGTCAAGCTAGGCCTGATCTGTGGGCCCGTCCTGGATTTGAGCTTCAGCGTTTGGTACGACCTTCGCGACCTGCGGCTCGTGGAGTGGATCCTCTGGCTCATCTGGTCGCGGCGAGTTCTCTTCGTGATGATCGAGCCACCGCCGTCGAGCTTCTCAGATGCCCGCAGGCCAGGGAAGCGGTCTGGGGCGGCGCCCGAGGGCTTCGACCGCCCCGACCCCGCGGCGCACCTCGGCAACACCCTGGCGTTCCGCTGTCTCGCGCTGTTGCTGGCAGCGGACCTCGCTGGACTGGCGGGGCTCGTGGGCGTCCCGAGGCGGTCCAGGATGCGGCAGCTCGCGGCTTGGCGACGCTTGCGAGCGCGGGCCTCTTTTTCGGAGAGCTGGCTCGCCTCCTGCGCCTTCGGGTCCGCCTTCAAGAAGGAGCTTGCGTTCATGGGCGTGCGGGTCGACCTGACTGCGCTTCGCCGTCGGTGCTCTGGAGGTCACGTCCACCCGCCCGCCGTGAAGGCGGACGCGGCGGAGTCTGCTTTCTTCCCGAGCGGCGCGGCGGCGGCTCTGGCCGCGGTCGCCAGGGCGGCGGTCCGCAGGCTCCAGCTCGACGACGAGGGGCAGTACACCTCGAACCCAGGGTCCGAGCAGCTGATGATGAACGAGATCCTCCTCACCAGCCGCTGGGAAGTGGACCGCAGCTGGCGCTGGAAACGGCCCGCTCACATCAACCTCCTGGAGTCTGGCGTCGCGAAGAACTGGCTGGAAGGCCTGGCGCGGGAAGGGGGGGATCGCCAGGTCTTCGGGATCCTTGACTCCAGCGTCGCGATGTGCTCTACAGCTAAGGGCCAACCCTCAGCAGCTCTTCAGCGGAGCCTCGGGCAGATAGGTGCGATCTCAGTGGGAGGAGGCCTTTGCCCTGGATTTGGGTTCTCTCCCTCGAGGTTCAACCCTTCCGACGCGCCGACGCGGGAGAGGGGCGCCGAAGACCCTTGCCGGCCTCCGCCGTCCTGGCTTGCCGCGCCAGGATCGTGGGAGGCGGCTTCGCGGGTGCCCGCGGCCCCCGCTCCGCTGGCGGCCTGGTGGCGCCTCGTCTCCGGGAAGGCGCCCGCGCTGCTGCAGGCGCCCCAGAGCCGCAGCCGCTTGGGCGCGGTGACAGCGCGCCTACCTGCTCCTCTTCGGGAGTCGGCCGCGGTGGAGCGTGCCAGGCGCCGTCGGCGCGGGCGCGGGGCTTTCTTCGACCAGAGCGTCTTCGGCGGCTTTCCAGGGGAGGGTTGGCGCGCGGGCCTCGTGGCGTGCGTGGTGCTGATCTTCTTCTGCTCAGGGGCGCGGACGTGTGAGGCCGCCTCGCCCGCTGGCGTGCCGGGCGGCGGGCTGGCCTCTGCCCGGGCAGGGGGCGCGGCCCCGGCGGGCCTGCGGGCTGGGCCCCGAGCAGCCTCCACTGGCGGGCCCCCACCTGCCCGTGGCGACGTCGCCCGCGCGGCCGCCCGCCCCGCACCGCTGCCGAGAGGGCGGCCCGTCGGAGAGCGGACCCGCGGGCGGAGGTTCGTCTGCTTGCAGTGGCTCGACAGCTGGCTCCAGGGGCGCGGCTACAACCTGGCCGACCTCCTGGAGGCGAAGGAGCCCGACGTCTACCTGATCAACACGTTGCTGGAGGAGTACGGCCACTTCCTGTGGCGCTCGGGGGCCGCTTACTACAAGCTGTCCGAGACGATCAACGCTGTCTTGGGGGTCCGCGGGGAGTTTCGCCGCTCCCTCGGGAGAGCGTGGGACGTGGCCTACAGCTGGCTGGATCAGGAGCCAGGAGGCCATCATGTAGCGATGCCCGTGACCGTGCTGAGGGCCCTCGTCGCGACCGCGCTCCTGTGGGGCTGGCCTCGCGTGGGGGCCGTGCTGGCCGCGGGCTGGTACGGCATGTTGAGGCCCGTGGAGTTCTTGAGTGCTGAGAGGGGCGATCTGATTTTTCCTGCAGACGCTCTGCATGCTGTCGCCCACCTGCGCTGGTCCATTCGAGAGCCAAATGCTAGACGGCTCGGGGCCAGGGCGCAGTCGGCTCGAATCGACGATTTGCAAGTCATTCAGCTCCTCTCGGCCGTTTTCGCTCGCCTCCCTCCCTCTGCTCGCCTCTGGCCGCTCGGGCAGGAAGGTTTCAGACGTAGGTTCGCTGCGCTCTGTCGAGCTCTTGGCCTGCCCACGGGAAAAGGGGGCGGCCTCGACTTGGGTGCTCTCAGGGCGGGCGGTGCCACTGCTCTTTTTGAAGCGACGGAGGACGGCGAACTCGTTCGGTCTCGGGGTAGGTGGCTCCAGACCCGTGCGATGATGATTTACATACAGGAAATCGCTGCCGCCAGTTTCGTCTCGCACTCAGAGCCGAGGGTCCGTGCGGACCTCCACGAAGTGTCTCCCATTAGCCCTAGGGTGCTCGAGCTAGCCACTGCCTGGGCGACCCAGGACGTCCCCCCAGGACTGTGGCCAGGCCTCTTCCAGGACGCCTTTAAGTAGTATAATCTACTTCGTCTGGGTGTCTTCCAGCATTTTTTTGGACCCGTGACCCGCCCAGGAGGCCCTCGGAGGGTGGGGGGGCGCCCGGGGCCGACCCCCCCCAAACCAGCGAAAATGGTACACCGGCCCCCCCCCCTCGGTGTACCGGGGCCCCCCCCGTACACCGAGGGGGGGGGGGGCTCGGTGTACCATTTTCTCGGTTTTCGGGGGTCTCTCGGGGCCTTCTCGGTTCCCCTTCTGGGTTCTACTTGGGGTGGGCTGGGCCTGCCTTATCAGTGCTTAGCCATTTTGGCTGCTGGTGCACCTTCGTGCGGGTGCATCGTTAATCCTTTAATTGTCTCTCCGCCGAGGCTCTCGAGATAGGAGTTTGGGATTTCGGGTATAGCCTGGTTGTCGCCGTGAGGGCCAGTGTCGTGCTTGTAGATAGTATGACTGTCCCTGCCGCTTCCCCCAGGCTGCGCTCGAGAGGCTGAGAACGATGCTTGAATTTCTAAGCTCGGCGCGAGTCAAAAGCAAGAGTCCCTGACAGTAGGGACGACAGCCTCCTATCGCGTCGGGTCTTGGCTCAAGCCTGCCCGCCCTTTTAATCCCGCCCTGCTGTGAGCCCAGGGTATAGCCTGGTTGTCGCCGTGAGGGCCAGTGTCGTGCTTGTAGATAGTATGACTGTCCCTGCCGCTTCCCCCAGGCTGCGCTCGAGAGGCTGAGAACGATGCTTGAATTTCTAAGCTCGGCGCGAGGCAAAAGCAAGAGTCCCTAAAAGCATACATATTTTCACATCTGACACCTTCAATACGACCTTTAGCAATGTGCTGACTACACAACTTTTGGTAAGCAAGCCTGTGTTCTCAGGACTGCCGTGCCCCAATCAAACCCGTAAGCATGCGAAGACAAACCGGGGCCTCCCAAGAGAACCCAAGAAGCGCCTAAGGCCATTAATGGATAGCCCCAAGTTTGCTTGAACATTCACTTGACTACAACACGTTTTTGTAGTAAGGCAGATGTTTAATCAATCACGTGTTCAAAGACATCGCCTCTCTCAGTGAAGCCCGAAAGAAAAGACTGGACGAAGCCACGCTTTCCAAGACAACCCATTATGTGCCGAGGACTAAAATGCGTCAAGTCCACGACTGCATGAAAATTTGCTTGACTATAGAACGCTTTATAGTCAAGCAACTTTTCAAAGACCGGGCCTGGCCTGACGAAACCCGAAGAGTGGACCAAAACGCGAGCGACAGCTTACGCTGACTGACGCTGCCAGTCCTCCTCCTGCTCCTCCTCGTCCTCCTCCAACTTCTCATCTCATCCTCCTATTCCACCACCTCATCCGACTCCTCCCCCTCGTCCTTGTCCTCCTCATCCTCCCACTCCTCCTGCTTGACTACAAACCGTTTTGTATTCAAGCAAATGTCCTCTCAATAATTCCAATAGGTAATCACTCGATCCCTCCGACCTCATCCTGTGCCAGACCTGCCCGTTGTTTAACTCAGCCGGTGCTTAACTGATCCTGCGATCCGATGCTTAACTCATCCGATGTCCCAATCATCTGTTGACCAACTCATCCAGTGCTTAACACCTGCGCTGACAAACTCATCTGGTGGATAACTCATCTGGTGCCTAACTCATCCGTCGACTAACTCAACCAGTGCCTGGCTCATCCAGTGAAGAACTCACCTGGTGCAGACGAACTCATGGTATACCGGACTCCGCCGGAGCCTGGTTCATCCAGCGCGCGCCGATCTGACTACAAAGCGTGTTGTAGTCGAGCAGATTTTTGATTGAAAACTCCATTCTGGAAGCTCTCGGTCCCCCATGATTCACCTGGTGCCTCACTCGCCGGGTGCCCCTTAATGGACTCTCGAACTGACCGGGGTCCCAAGCGCACACGCGGTGCCTAACTCACCAGAGGCCCGTAATTCACCGGGTGATCCCAAGTGATCCTTCTGTGCGAAAGTCACTGGATGTCCTGAACTCCCCCCCCCTAACCACCAAGCCGACCTGAAAATGTGCCTGACTATCAATCATGGTGTAGACGAGCAAAGCTTCATCGGACAACCCCGATCTGGACTCACTGGGACCCCGATAACGCCCCTGGTGCTTCACGTGGAGCCGCTCACACATTCCCCAAGCTCACCCAGATGCCTAGCTCACTCGCGGTGCTTATGATGCTGACCTCAGACCCATCGCGCACCAAGTGACCCCAATGCATGCCGTATTCCAAACTCACCACGTGCCCCTGACACTTTCTTTGCGTCGGCGGCTGGGCAGAGGTTACTGCTCCAGCGATCGGGCATTAGGTGGGGCGCGCTAAATGCAAATTGGGCCGCAGTGCACGTGAGGAGAGCAGGAGAGACCCTGGCGCGACGGGAAGAGAGGAAGCCAGGCCTGCTCAGGCAAGTCATCAGTTGCGGCGGAGGGAGCGCCGAGGGGGTGGGGGGGGGGGGCAGCCGCGGCGCCAGACAGCAGCTAGGTGGGTATGGCAGCCCAGCGGCGGCCTGGCAAAGACAGATGGGGGAGCATACCCCACATGGGCAGGTATCGAGCGACCAGACCAGTCGATAAAGTCCGTGGGGGCTGACGTCGGACGGGCAGCAAACGGCTGCAAGGAGGAACGTGTGTCATAGATTGATGCGGTCACCACGCCAATGGGGGAGCGGGCGGAGCAGGCGAACCCAGCGGTTAGGCGAAGTGCCGAGATTTGGTGACGTATACGAGGCGCGGCGGGAGGCGCGAAGGGCGGAGCGCAGGCTGCCACGAGTGCGCTGCGAAAAACCCTGACACACGGTGCCCGTAATTCACCCCGTAAACAACGCTCGCACGGTGCCGAACTCTGGTGCCAGGCTCATCTGGTGCCAAACGCATCCGGTGCCAAGCCCATCTGGTGCCAGGATCATCCGGTGCCAAGCTCATCTGGTGCCAAACTCATCTGGTACCAAACTCACCCAGTGCCAAATTCATCCGGTGCGAAATTCATCCAGTGCCTATTCATCCGGTGCCAAAATCATCCGGTGCCCATTTCATCCAGTGCCAAATTCATCCGGTGCCAAAGTCATCCGGTACCACGTTCATCCGGTGCCTAATTCATCCGGTGCCTAATTCATCCAGTGCCTAACTCGTCGGATGCTTGACTCATCGGGTGCCTAACTCACCCGGTGCCTAATTCATCCAGTTCCTAGTCCATCCCTCCCCTGGTGCCCCCGTTTCGTCCAAAGCCTTACCTGGCTGACGCCCTGAACTCACCCAATGGCAAATTCACCTTGTGCCTACTCCATCCTTTGACTAACTCATCCAGGCTAACTCATCCGGTGAACAACTCATCCAGGCTATTTCATCCAGTGACTGACTCACCCGGACTATCATCCGTTCGCGTTTCACCCGGACCGCGGATCGGATGAGTCGGATCGGATGAGTTGCCATCGGATGAATCAGCCTGTCTCGAAGTTGATTTTGACCCCCGTCCGGGGGGGGGGGGGACTGCCCAGCGCCTACTACCAAACGCAGAGCAGGGATCGGTTGAGCGATGCTTAGGTCGCAGGCGCGGCGCGCCGGGGGCCCGACGGCGCCCGCTGGGTGCGCCAGGCGCTGGTGGAGCCTGGGCACGTGCCGCTGCAGGCCCCGCGCCGTGCCCGCGGCCCGGGATGGGGTAGACGGGTCGATCTTCGGCTGTTGGCCCAGGTGGGCACCTCGTGAAGGGCGGAGCTCGTTGGAGCTTCGGCCCGCCCTTTCATGTGGCCCCCAGGGCTATCCTCGGCCCTCGGTCCTCGATCTTCGATCCTTGATCCCTGATCCTCGATCCTCGATGCTCTAACCTCGATCCTAGATCCTTTTTTCCTGGACCCCTCCCAGTTCCCATCCTGGTCAGATGTGTTTCGGCTGCGGTCTGCCGTGTTTACAAGAGCCCCCAGAACCTCTCGAAACATTGACGAAGACCCCGATCATCGACCCTCGATTCTCTTTCCTCTATCCTCTGCCCTCCTATCATCGATCCCCCATCCTACGACCATCGATCCTCGATCCACTATCTTTTATCCTCCATCATCTATTCCAAATACTCTTGCCTCTATCCTCTATCATCGATTCTCGATCCTCTGTCCTCGGACCGCCATCCTTGACCCTCGACGCGAAATCCGCTTCAAAGGGCCCATTCTGGCCCGCCGTTCGAGCAGCATTCAGCTGCGGCCGCGAGCGCCTCCAGAAGCGCCCTCCGGAAGCCTCCGAAGCCGACAGCGGTGCGACCTTCTCTCGATACTCGATCCTCGGTCCTCGGTCCTCGACCCACGTCCCTATCCACGATCCCCTAATTTCGATCTTCGATCCTCGATCCTCGAGACTGTGCCCTCCATGCTCGATCCTCGGGTCTCGATCCTCTGGGCTCGATTCTCGGATCTCGAACTGGGTCGGCGCGCGCGCAGGCTGAGCTGCGCGGCGGGTCGCTGGAGCCGCTGCCAGAACGTTCGGGCGCGTGCGCGGGCGCCGCCGCTGCTGGAGACTTCTCCTCCGTGGCTGCGATGGCGCAAGCGGGCCGACCCTGGGGCCCAAGACGGTGACGGCGTCGGCGGCAGCGACGATTGGTGACGGGGGTGACCGGCGGTGACCGGTGGCGACGGGGACGGCGATGATGACGGTCACGTCGTTGTTGACGGCGACGGCGCCCAATGCCCACGGACGACGAGGACCAGCAACAGGATGGAGCACGAGGATGAGGGTGATGATGACGACGATGATGCTGATGATGCTGATCATGAAGATGGTGGTGCTGATGTTGTTGATGATGATGATGCTGATGATTCTGATGATGATGATGCTGATGATGATGCTGATGACGATGATGATGATGAGCATGATGGTGATGAGGAAGAGGATACTGATGATGATGATGACGCCGATGATGATGATGATGCTGATGATGATGATGATGATGGTGATGATGATGATGATGACGATGATGATGATGAGCATGATGGTGATGAGGAAGAGGATACTGATGATGATGATGATGACGCCGATGATGATGATGATGATGCTGATGATGATGATGATGATGATGATGATGCGGAGCAAGATGAAGACGCTGATGACGATGATGCTGATGATGCTGATTCCGATGATGTGATGATGCTAATTATGATGCTGGTGCTGAAGATGCTGATTCTGATGATGCTGACGATGTTGATGATGATGATGCTGATGACGCTGCTGCTGGTGATGCCGATCATGCTGACGATGATGATGCTGCTGATGATGATGATGATGATGATGCTGATGATGATGATGATGATGCTAATGATGATCATGATGATGCAGAAGATGATGATGATGATGATGATGATGATGATGATGATGATGATGGTGATGATGAAGATGCTGATGCTGATGCTGCTGCTGATGATGCTGCTGCTGATGATGGTGATGACGATGACGATGTCGATGACGATGACGACGATGATGATGCTGATCTTAATGTTGATGACGGATGATGATGATGGTGGTGATGATGATGATGGTGCTGGTGGTGATGATAATGATGATGTTGTTGATGATGATAATGGTTATCATGCTGTTGATGATGATGATGCAGATGTTGATGCTGCTGCTGATGATGATGAAGATGATGAAGATGATGACGATAACGATGACGATGATGATGATGATGATGATGCAGATGATGATGCTGATGATGACGACGACGATGCTGATGATGATGATGATGATGATAATGCTGATGGTGATGATGATGATGACGATGATGATGCTGATGATGATGATGGTGAGTATGATGATGATGCTGCTGATGCTGATGCTGATTATGATGATGACTCTGATGATGATGGCGATGATGATGATTGTGATGATGATGACGAATGATAAGATGATGATGATAATGCTGATGATGATGATGATGCTGATCATGATGATGATGACGATGATGATGGTGGTGGTGATGATGATGATGATGATGATGATGATGATGGTGATGGTGATGGTGATGGTGGTGGTGATGATGATGATGATGATGAAGATGATGAAGATGATGATTTTGATGATGACGATGATGATGATGATGATGATGATGATGATGATGATGACGATGACGATGACGATGATGATGATGACGATGATGCTGCTGCTGCTGCTGCTGCTGATGATGATGATGATGATGATGATGATGATGATGATGATGATGATGATGATGGAGGAGGAGGAGGAGGAGGAGGAGGAGGAGGAGGAGGAGGAGGAAAGCCATTCGGCCGAGGAGGGGCCGGGACCGTCGCGGCTTCGCCCTCGTCGGTCGCCCCTTCGGTCGTGGCTCGCGCGCCGCGGAGCCATCAAATAGAAGATAAAGAGGCGCTGCAGCCGCGGCGGTCACCCGACCGCCACGCCCAGGACCAAGGAGGAGGCCTGGCACCGCCGCGCCAGGACCCAAAGAGGACAAGACAGGCTGCCCATCAGGCTAGCGGCAGCTGCCAGCAGGCTCGAGCAGCACCACAGCTCGCAGCAGCCCCAACGCCACCAGCAGCACGCCATGACGCAGAACTGGAAGCAGCAGCGCGGCGCCTCGAGGGAAAGGTGGTCAGGAGCAGGGGCCACACACCTCGAGGCGTCGCAGCGCGGCGCTGGGAAAAGGTGGACAGGAGCAGGGTCCACAGCCCAGGCGCCTGCGCAGGGCCCAGGGGAAAGGTGGTCAGGGACAGGGACCACACACCCTGGGCCCGCAGTGGGCGAGCAACCATGGCCTAGGCGGAGATCTGCATACCAAAGCAAGAGCTCCTGGAGCCGCTCCGCATCGAGAAAGAAGGCCGCCGTCCACATCCAGAAGTACACCATTAGCAAGAGGCAGCAGGCCATCGCCGACGCCGTGCTCGAGCTTCCATTTTCCATATCTCGCGACCGCGAGTCCTTCGGCCTCCCGCCAGAGGACCCTGACATGAGGAAGCTGTGTACGAGGAACCTCCAGCAGAGGCTCGGCCGTGTCGCCGATCAGATCAACGGCGCGCAGTCCGCCAAGGTTGACGCCAGCAAGCTGTTGCCGCAGGCCTCGGTGATCATGTGCGTGCGCGCGATGGCCACGGATCCACACGTTCGGCTACAACAATATCGGTCTCAGATCGAGGTGCTGGCAAAAGAGCAGAAAGACATCCATGAGACAAAGGGGGCTCTGCAGACCAAGGCCGACGCCAACGCCCAGCGCATCGCCGACTTGAAGTGCCTCATCACGGACGTCAAGCTCGAGATTGCCGCCGAAGCCGACGCTGATTGCGAAGCTGACTCCGAGGACGACAAAAAGCAGTACAACAATGCAAGAGCCAACGCCCCATTACGCCGTCGCGCCAGTCGAGGGCCTCCATCCTCGTGCTCGAGCAGGCCGGCCTCGCCATCAAGCAGCGTCGCAGAGCAGCTCAGGAAGAAGGATGAGGAAGCGCGCCGAGAAGGAAGGAGCCAGGTCAAAATCGCCAATGCCGAGCTCCGCAAAAAGGCAGAAGAGTATGAGGGGGAGGTTGAAGCCATGCGCCAGTGCTTCGCTGAGATGAAGATGCAAGGCCGAGACAGGCTTGTGCACCGCGAGCAAGCGCTCTCCAAGAAGGCCCTGAACGCCACGGAGCAAGCCATAACAAAGAACGACGAGGTACTCCGCCGCCAAGAATCACAGCAAGAGCGCGCGTTCCAGCAGCGTGAAGAGCTCGTCCATCAGATCTACGCCGAGAAGATGCAGCAGGAAGCGCAGAGGATGGAGAACCACGAGCGCGCGATGAGATACGACCTCGAGCGGCAGAAGCTCACCTACGAGCAGAAGCGCCAGGAGGCCCACCGCATGGACGATGCCATCCGAGCGGAAACGGCCACCCAGACTTGCATCGCATCAACCTCCGAGGAAGCAGCCCGCCAGCAAGCGCAGAGCGAACAACTTCATCGTGAGTGCGAACGCCTGCAGCGCGAGGGCCAGAGGATAGAGCAGATGAGCCAGGACCTCCGCCTCGAGGAGCAGGCCGTGCAAGTCATGGCGGCCCAGGAGATGCAAAGAAAAAACGACATCGCCGAGCGGATCGCGGAAGCCCAGGCGGACCGAAAGCGAGAGGATATCCACCAAGAGCATGTGATTCAGCAGCAGGCGGTCATCGCCGCCACGAAGCTCTTGGAGGGGCATCTCGCGGTCCAGAGGGGGCGCGAGGTGGTCTACCAGCGGGCGGAGCTCCAGCTCGAGTCGCAGCGCCATGTCCAGGACAAGTGCGACCGGCTCGAAGCCGAGGAAATATAGCACCAACGGGCTACCCTACAGCACCACCTCTTCTTCAACGAGGCCCGGGCCCTCCAGCAGCGGCTGCGGCACAAGACCGAGTGCGACCAGCACCAACGCGAGCAGTTTCTGGCGAGATACGGCCAGCACGAAGCGGAGATGCACCAGCAGCAGCAGTTCGCCAACGTCGAGCTACAAGCTGCGCTGGCGCAGAGACAATCACAGGAAGAGCATCACCGTGAACAGCTGGCCCGACAACAGGAAGAGCATCGAGTCCACCAAGCGCTCCTCGAGAAGAGCCTGCGGGAGCAGCTCGACAACGTCGCGCCCAGGATCGACACGGACATGCTCGACAGCGTTGCCAGCGCACTCATCGCGGACGACGAGAAGCAGGAGATGCAAGCCCAAGCCGACGATGAGGAGGCCCACCAGCGGGACAACATGCGCCCCGCTCTCCACGCCATCGCCCCGTCGCACGAGTTTGACTACGACGTTGCCCGTGAACCGTACTACGCCGAACCCGACCAGATGGCAACCCCGAAGATTGCAGATCTTCGTGGCGCTCCCTTCATCATCAGGATCTTCGATTGGTTTAACGCCGCCCTTCTACTGCAGCCTCTGCATGTCCTGCGGCAACTACCCCAGCGGCAAGACGGATATCATCAGGTGCAGCATCAGGTGCAGGCACTGTGGGAGCGAGAACATCGAAGACCGCTCCGTGGATCTCGGCTACAACGGCACGTACCCAACGACGCAGAAGCTCGACCAGGTCGCTAACCTGCACAACAACCCGCAGCCGCAAGCACCAGCACAGAGGTCATCACCACTCCCACCACTAGCTACGCCACCATCGCAACCACTCGGCCCCTTCATCGTTCTCGTATTTCTCACGGAAGTCGCTCCGACGCCAGTGGCGGGAGACGGAGCGCCCGCGAAGACCCCGAGTATGCACGAAGGATTCTTGGCCGAGACATCCACTCCACCTCCCGCGCGACACGCAGAAGACCTGAGCTTCGATGACCCCAGCGGTCGCGGCCTCGGCGACCCGACACGCGCGCCGACAGTCCAGGCATTGCCGATCCGCCCTGACGAGCAACCGACGCCAAGTGCTCCCTGGGGAGCAGGCCCCTTCCTGCCCCCCCCGGCCCCCGTGGCCGCCCCCCCCACCGCGGGCGCAGTCCGTGCCGCTCCGCGACGATCCCGTCTCCCCATGACCCTTCCGACCGATTAACGCACAGACCACCCTACTGGGGAACCCAGGCACCCCCCGCGCTCCCCTATCACGCTC